ATGGCACACAGGGAAAAGTCTCTATATACTACTCCCTCCATCTCAAATTGTAAGACATTTGACTTTTTTAGCCCCAAGTTTGACCACTTGTCTTATTAAAAAAAATTGTGCAAATATAGCCAAATTTAAGTTATTCTTGAAGATTTTTTATTAATAAACCAAACCACGACGAAAGAAGTGATATTTTACACAAATTTTTGAATAAAACGAGTGGTTAAACTTGGTGTCAAAAAAGTCAAACGTCTTATAATTTGTGATGGATTGAGTAGCTTATAATTTTAAATTGAAATAGATGCGATGACGCTCAAGAAAATGGAACTGAAGAATGTGTGTATCCTGAATTCCTGGTGAACCGAGAGTCTTGGAACAGCGATTTTTCCTGGCCGCTCCTCGTTGATCAGACGGACGCCGTGAGTCCATACGGTTATCCTCGCAACCCTCTCCTCTGGCCTCTCCGCCTCCCCGAACGCGATGGCGGCGCCGCTCGCCCCCCTCACTGCCGCGGCGGTGCTCCGCCTCGGGAGCCGAGGCCTCCGCCACCGCCACCACATCCTCCTCGCCTCGCTCCGCCCCTGCTCCTCCGCTCCCCCGCCCCATCGTTCCGCCGTCCCGGCCGCTGCACGCCGGCTCCCAACGCTCCCGCCGCCTCCTCGCCGCCTCGCCCGCACTCTTGCCGCCTCTGCGGCCACGGCCGTCTCCGAGGGCCAGACGGAGTAAGGCTCTGCTCTATTTCCGTTCCCGTCCTCTCCACCCTGCTCGTTACTGCGAAGTTGTAGTCGGAAAAATCCTGTCTTTTGCTTGTACTGCGTTGCAATGTGATTCCGGAACGTAGTATTTGGCGCTCGTGCGAGTACTGGGGATTCTAGTGGAAGTGAAACCTCAAAGTTTGTATGTATATGGCTCAAATGCATGCAATTTGGGTTTAGGCCAAAGGAAGGAGAAGGGAAATTATAGAAAAGAAACGAGTGATTGTTTCTTGGAGTGGTAGAGAGACATCGTGTGATTCACTGTGGTTGGCTGGTACTACTTGCTTCTTATGTGTATCAAAGGGCGAGTTTTCATGTTCCAGTTGTATTGTAAAGATTGCTTGAAATGTGTATTAGTGGGTAGTGTGAATTACTAGGTGGAAATTTCACTAGATTTTGAGAGGAATTGACTGATGCCGTGTGGATCTGGTGCCTCTATATTGGTTGCCTATCTTGTTGTAGGCTTGTTATGGAGTATGGAACTTGCTTGTAGCATGATCACACTCAATAATATTGGTTTTGAATTTATTTTGATTGTTGAAGAACTTTGGAAGTAATGACTGTGGATGTGTTCTATAGGTTGGGCACCACTTTTATGGTTTTTTTCGAAGGTTAATTTTCATGGTACAGTAAGAGGCTGTATGAAAGATGTTAATCAGTGGAAAATTATTTGTTGGGCCATTAGTAAAACTATAAAAACATACGTAAAATAGCCATTCTGTTAGATTATTCATTGATTAGTGGTATAAGGAGATATATTTACTATGATTCTTCAGCTTGGTATTGCTTCAAGCAGTTTTGATTTGCCTTTGGTGTTTAAGAAGGTTGCAAACTAGACTAATTGGGTAATTGGCAGTAACTATGCACCAATTCCAAGCTATACCACTTTCTCCCACCATTGGTACTTCTGTTTCTTCTAGCAGCAGATTTAAAAGAGCTGAAAACCGTTGTTGTTCCAATGTACCATGTTGAATTGGTTATCATTGTGATTTTTGTCTGCCTGTGGTGATTCCTACTAGCGTGGAATATAACAATCCTAATGTTTTTGTTTTTTTCTAGTTTAGTGTCTGGCTCAATAACTTCAAGCAAGGGACGCATCTACCACGAGACATATGGTTGCCAAATGAATATAAATGACATGGAGATTGTGCTTTCTATCATGAAAAATGAAGGTTATGATGAAATTGTCCCTGACCCGGAGAGCGCAGAGATAATATTTATCAACACCTGTGCCATCCGCGACAATGCAGAGCAGAAAGTTTGGCAACGTCTCATCTACTTTTGGTTTTTGAAAAGGGAATGGAAAACTAATGTTGCTGAAGGTAGATCAAAATCTCTGCGGCCTCCCAAGATTGCTGTCCTGGGGTGCATGGCAGAGCGACTGAAGGAGAAAATACTTGATTCTGATAAGATGGTTGATGTTGTTTGTGGACCTGATGCATATAGGGATTTGCCTAGGTTGCTCCAGGAAGTCGATTACGGCCATAAGGGTATGAACACACTTCTATCACTTGAGGAAACTTATGCTGATATCACCCCAGTAAGGATCTCTGACAATTTTTTTTCAGCATTTGTGTCAATCATGAGAGGTTGCAATAATATGTGCTCATTCTGCATAGTTCCCTTCACTAGAGGTAGGGAAAGGTCTCGCCCAGTGTCTTCTATTGTCGCGAGGTTGGTGAGCTGTGGAAAGCTGGTGTGAAGGAGGTAATGCTTCTTGGTCAGAATGTTAACAGTTACAATGACACTTCTGAAGTAGAAGAGTTGGAGCCTGGCCAAAACTGGCAACTCAGTGAAGGATTTTCCAGCATGTGCAAGGTGAAGAATATGGGATTGTGTTTTGCTTATCTCCTGGATCGATTATCTTTGGAATACCCTGAAATGCGGTTCAGGTTTACTTCACCACACCCAAAGGATTTCCCAGATGAGCTACTGTATTTGATGCGGGATAGGTATAACATCTGCAATCTTATTCACTTACCAGCACAAACAGGCAGTACAGCAGTGCTGGAGCGAATGCGGAGGGGTTACACTCGAGAAGCATACTTAGAACTTGTGCACAAAATTCGTAATGTCATTCCTGATGTTGGGCTAAGCAGTGATTTCATAACCGGTAAGCTTTCTTTTCTCCATAGTCTGCATTGGCTTAACTAGATTAAATTGTTTGTGTTTCCTGATTTCCCATAGTCATGATCTTATGAACAAAGTACTCCCAGAACGAATATTTTTCTTTTTCCTATGGCTGTGTCAAAAAGAGTGAAAATTGACCATATGTCCATATAGACTATAGAGTGGTTCATGTGGTAAGGAGCTATAACAGACCAATTCGAATTTAGAACCAATTTGTATTCACTACTCAACTAGCAAGATAACCTCATAGATGTACTTTATATCTAGTATCAGTGGAAGAACTTATAAAGAAGGATAAAATTGGTGTGCTGCGTTGAGGCGATATCTTGATTGAATGTTAAGTTCCTGTTTGACCAATTTGTTTCCATTTTCGTTAAAGTTTCTGATGTTTATGACAATGGTACGCTTTGTTTACAATTTAGAATTAGGTATCATACAGATCATGTCCTGTGTTTGCCTTAATTGAATCTGAATCCTCCATTTATTTCTCCTGCTCTTACTTAAGACTTATTCGCTTCATAGTTTGAGTAGAATGGCTTATTGATATATGAAAAAAAGTTAACATTTATCTCGTTGTATATATTGAATTATTGATAAGCTAGAATATGACAGTAATTTTACAACTAGTTAGCAAGTAACTTTGAAGATGTGGACAGCTCTTATATCATGATGCTACAAAGCTGTTTCGGCACAGGCCATGGAGTCTTTGCTAGTTCACTGGTATGAATGGCAGTTTAAATGAGATTGAGATTACTTGATTTATTAAGTTATAACAGTAGCACTAGCATTTGGTGATATTTATGTAATTATGTCAGATATGTACTTAGGTATCCCGGATTTCTTGAACCATTCATAGTGGCATGCAATTTTTTTAGTTTCATCTTCTATGATCCAACCTGCAGATTTGTCCTTAATACAGTTCATTACATTACTCTGTTTTAATTTGGGATGTATATTTCTGATGTATTGCAGGCTTTTGTGGAGAGACAGAAGATGACCATGCTGAAACCCTCAGCCTTGTAAGGGCTGTTGGATATGATATGGCTTACATGTTTGCATATAGCATGAGAGAAAAGACTCATGCTCACCGGAATTATGAGGATGATGTCCCCGAAGATGTCAAGCAGAGGAGACTCACAGAACTAATCAACACCTTCCGTGAGACCACAAAGAAGAACTACGATTCTCAAATTGGTACAGTGCAGCTTGTTCTTGTCGAGGGACCCAATAAGCGTGCTCCCAAAACGGAGCTGACAGGGAAGACTGATAGGGGGCATAAGGTGTCATTTGCCAGTGTCCCTGTACCACACGCTCGAAGGTGAAGAAGCACCTAAGCCAGTGGTTGGTGACTTCGTCGAGGTGAAAATTCTCAGGTCATCGACAGCAACATTATTTGGGGAGCCAATTGCACGCACAAGCTTGAGTCTGTTCCACAAAAATGTTGCATCCGAAGCACAGGCTGTTGCTGCATAAGTAATAGTTACATTTGTAGTAGTTGTGGATTATCTGTAGTGATATTTCAAACGACTACAGTTTTGATATAGAGAAGAAACTGAGCATGTGCATGTCAGCCTCATGGTTAAGCGTTGATTGTTTAGTTTTGATAAGGTAGCATGGTGTACTGCTTTTATCAGCGGAAGCCAAAAGAATTTTTAGCATAAAAGTCTGCTGGTCTTGTGAACTACCCCTCTTTTTGAAGGTTGTATTGCCATGTAAAGGTCAAACAATATTGACAGTTTTTGCTTGTTACTATAAACTTCAGCTTGAGATGGCTTTTTACTGCAGGACCCAGATTGACTATCTGCAAATCTGTTACCAGAGGATTCCCAGTTTCTGTTCAATGTTCATGGGGATGTGTATGATAGCACAGTTACACAATCTTGTAGAGTGAATGATTCTCAGACTGGGAAAAGAGAGTAAAATTCAGCTGAGAATATTTACAATTCTGTTGTGCTATAATACAGCTATCTAATCCTGTGCACGTGTTGATGTCCTACGCTGATAAAAGACAATGGAAATAATCTATGATTAAATTTTCTACAACAAAGCTACTCTTTTTGTGAATCTACAAGATGTGCTAATTATGTGAGTGCCAATGGCATCAAGGAATGGAGGACATGCACATCACACTCTGGCCACCACCTGCTGCCGTAGAGGTGTGAGAAGTCTTGCAAGAGGTAGAGGCACATGAGCTTTTACAAATGTCCCATTTTCCTTGTACTCCTGCAGTAAATATTGCAAGAGGAGAGTTATCATTAACTCCAAACAAGAATGCAAAAAATTGTAAATTTTCTATTGAATGGAAGTTTCTCAAGAAATTAATATAGCATGCACTTGAGTATGTCCAGATTTGTAATAAGCAAAAATGTGTGATTGTTTACAAAGAATTTTCTAACTAGTATCAACCCATGCACATGCTTCCATGACTAGACTATCTCTTTGGCAGTAGTTGAATGAATTAACTCATATGTATTTAGCTCAGAACAAAATTACAAAGACATAAATTTGACGACAGGAAAGAAAAGATCAAAACACCACTGCCAAAGAAATTGCATCTTAAATCAAATAGGACACTCACCATTTTTTCAACCATTCCAACCTTATGTATGTCACTTAGGAGATCTCCTTTGTCATATGGAACAATAGCTTCTATCGGAACCATTGAGTCCTGTAGAAGACAAATATGCATGATTTATGTCATGATTGACAAAACTCCAGATTAGATGCAGATTTTTTAAACTTGTAGGATAAAATAGATGCTTTAAACATCGGTGTTTAATCCCTTCCACAGCTCTAACTAGAAATACTTAGAAATCCCATTCCCCATACCTACCTCATGTGTGGGAGCTTTCAGCACTGAGTATGCCATCCGTGATTGATCCAAAATAAGAAATACCTCAGCTAAATACCCTCTGTGTTTATGATCCTTATATCATTAGGGTTAACATTGCCAGGAAGATAGCTGGGCAAAGTCGATTTTGAGAGAGACTTTAGGGGGAATTGGACAGGCTGTTCTTCATTTCTTGCCCCAGCTAACTGCCGTGCCTCTCTTTACATATAGCCAGCCCCTAATAAATCCCAAAACTGTACCTCCTAACAACCTTATCTAATCCTATCTCTTTAACTAAACCTTAGGATTCCTGGCCCGTTGACTGACGCACCATGACATCCATATGCCTACAGCTCCCGCTCCAATAATTTCTGGAGCTAGAAATGACCAGCTCCAAAAATACTTAGATTTGGAACACAGAGGCCCTTTATTCCAAATAAATTAAGTGCACTAGATACCCAAAAAGGCATGTCTGAAAAACAACAACTCTGCCTACAAGGGGGGAACACATACTTTCAACTTTGCTTGAACTGCATTACAGAATTCTTCCAAACCATCACCATTCATGGCTGATATGCAGATTATTCCTTGTTTCTGAGCTTCCTCTTTTACTCTCAATGGTTCATCCGTATTGTCAATCTGCATGACATACAAATTGGGCTCAGTTCCAAGAAGAAAAAAAAAACACTTGAAGAATCAGCTCCAGTTGGAAATGTATAATTGTGTCTTGCTTGCACTATTATTCCAAATTTCTGACTACGATTATGATTGAATGTGAAGATTAGATAGAACAAATGAGCCAATGCAAATCAAAGTTCCACAGAACCCCGCACCATTTGTATAAATATTATGGATTTACTACTACATTAAAAAAAATTATATGAACATAACCTATTCAGAGTGAGTGACAGACAGAGGTAGAATAAAAATGAGAACCCTTTCACATTCAGCAGCAACTTTTGTTCAAAAGCGCTCCCACACTATTTAATTCACTGTTAGCATAGGCAATTAGTCAATTAGGCATTAATACTAAATCAAGTATAGAATGACTATGATCAGAAAATCTCATTTCTACTCTCTAAAAATATGAAATAAAGTGAAAACGTTGAAAATTTTACCAAACAGGTCAAATATTTGAGCAAAACGAACCTTATTCCACACAATTAATTTGGGGATTGACTCTACATCCAACTACTTCAATACTCTTTCAACAGCATCTATCTGTTGTTGAGCTAATGGATGGCTGGAACACATGACACAATATTAGTACAGTGCATATAGATGCATTAAATTGAATCCACAACAAAGACAACCCCTAGTATAAGTTCCATACCTAATGTCCACAAGATGAACTATAACTGATGATTCTGATATCTCTTCTAGTGTTGCTCTGAATGCTGCTACCTGGATAGGTATTATCAATAAACGATATATGCAAAGTTGATACCATAAAGATAGGAAAAACTCTCAATATTTACAGTTTTATTCTTCAGGAGCATAACATGTAAACAAGAGGAATATGCTTTGTGGATATGTACCAGCATAGTGGGTAACTTCTGAATGAATCCGACAGTATCAGTTAGAAGGAACTCAGCCCCATTCTTCATCTGCAAAGTAATACACAATTACATTCAGTCATGGTCATATGTAGATATAATGATCGGTAGTTCTTACCCAAAAAAATCCTTCCCAAAGGCATACAAATGATAATAAATAGAGATTATTCATGTCAGTTATCCAATTTACATGACTAAAAAAATCTCTTATTTTCATTTTTTTATGGATCATGAGAGTTTTCTGATAACATACCAAGACCCTTCTTGTAGTTGGGTCTAACGTGGCAAATAACTTATCCTCTGCAAGAACATCAGCCCCAGTTAAACGGTTCAGGAGTGTACTTTTTCCAGCATTTGTATACCCTACCTGAAAAATATTTGGAACTAAGTATATTTGTAGAATAGAGAGCATAGGAAACTTTTGGTCACTCTAAGGAAATTTACATGGTTATACCAGAGAAACAACAGGAATAGGAACTGATTGGCGACGGTTGCGGTACAGCTTTCAGTGTTTCTGAACAGATTCCAATTCTTTCCTCAAGGCACTTATCTGTCAAAGACACTTATGTTTGAGATCCACAAGTTCCAAAAAAAAAGTTCAGCACTACAAATTCAGCAATGTACAATATGACAAGAAAAATACATAACTCCTATAAATGAATTATCAATAGGAGTTTGTCATATTATTAGGAAATGTCTGCCAGCCATCTACTTTTTATTCCACAGTCATTAGACACAGAGTGCCCTGCCATTGACCAATAGTGGTAGCTAATAACACAGTCCTGTGTGTATTTATTGAGCAAAAAAAAAAACTTCCAGAAAGAATATTACTTGAGTTCTTAAGATGCGCTTGTCAACTTCAATTTGCTTCTCACCCATACCCTTAACTTGACCTCCAGCCTGCCGTTCAAGGTGACTCCACATTTTTGTCAACCTAGGAAGTTGATATTCCATCTGTGCCAAGGTGACCTAAAAAGGAAAACAGAATTGCAGACAACAAACATGTTCATTCTACTTAAAACTGCAAACTTAATGTCAATAAATGATACCACGAGATACTACTGTTAATAAAGCTACTGTGTGTGATTTTTACCTGTAAAGCAGCTTCATGTGTTGCTGCCCTTTGATTAAAAATATCAAGAATAAGAGCAATTCGGTCACAGACTCGGACACTCCCACCAAATGACTTTTCCAAGTTACGTAGTTGTCTGAAATCATTATTGGGAATATCATCTATCAGAGCAACTATTAGGCCAATCTGAGGTGGTTAGCAGTTTAATAAAATATGATTAGGAAGCAGGTGAAAACATTGTATGCTCGACACAAGTACATGGTGTCAAAATCATAAGATAAATTCTCCAAATATATCCTGGTTAGGTATAGAGGAAAAATGAAAAAATTGATTATACTGGCATCCATTTATGAGACTGAAAAATTACATTCTTTCAGGTACTCTCAGAACTAATGATAACAGGTATTGTGATAAGCTCGGCAAGGATGATATGCGGTGGGCACCGTTGATTTGTGAGCTACCTCTCTGTGTAAGTGGGTTGCCACGGGTTAAGTCGGCTGGACTATTGTGTTATGGTTATGTGGGTTCTTTCTGTGTGTTAATCTGTGCGTATGTAAGGTTTTCAGGCCCGGTTTCCCTTATAAACTAGGCCAATTCTATTCTTCTTAATTGAAAGGCAGAGCTCCTGCCATTATTTCAAAAAAAAGTAACCAATATTTTGACCATAATAGTTAACGATCAGCTCAAGGTAAAGATCATACAGTTAGGTTCATTTGATGGTTCTGAGATATGAAAAACAAGGAAAACAGATCGAATCACATAACAGAGTAATAAGTGAGAATCTTACCCAGGGGATAACTCATCATCGAAAATTACAGTCTCAACATCAAGGGCTTGAATTGCACTCCTGATTTCAGAAACCTTGCCTGAACCAATGTAAGTCCTTGGATTTGGGGCAGAAAGCCTATTGGAAAATAGAAAGCATGAGAACCACTGTACTTTGTAGAAATAAGAAAAGGCAAGGCATGCGGTTTGTATGTCATGCCATAGCTTTACAATCTTATGTAAAGTACATAACACTACATGTTATGCAGAAAATTAAGAGGGAAGTTTGAGCTAAATTTATGCCAAATTGTGGCAGTGCCACCGCATACATTTTGAAATTTGAACTAACAGTAGTGTTTCATCTATCGGAGTTGACCGTGAAGTTCCTGTGGACCATGCAATAGATTGACCAGGCATCTCAGTTTTTCCAGGGTGACCCAATGGTCCATCTTTATCTATCGTGAGAACATATAACCACCGTTGCCAGTGGAGCACAGCGCAGGCTCAGTAGAGATGTTCCAGGCAAACAGAAGCTTACTTCTGATAGGTTGAGCCGACCACCACAAGGCCCGCGGTATCAGCCAACTGCTCCAGCTCCTTAAGAGACACCTCTATGCCGAAGAGGTTCCCTCCTGTCCGTTTGCACTCAACACCAACCAGATAAGCCTTCTCTTGAAATATCTGCAGGTAGCCATGTCCACAGGTTCAGAAATCAGACATGCTGAAAGCCTGAAATTGCCAGGTAACACAATTCCACAGCTCCAATGTTCATGTCACGGATCAAAATATCTAGAGGAGAGATAACAATCAAAAGTTCTCTCCGGTGAATTTGATGGATCATTGCAGATTATCAGATTTTGCACACGCAGCAGTCAGTAGAAAACCGCTCAATCTGTCAATCAGGCCGTCCAATCCACAAAAAGCAAAGCAGCTACCTCTTTGCCGTTGATGAGCTTGAACCTGTCTTGCCCCGCCGCGGCCTCCTCCTCTTCCTGCCGCTGCCGCCTGCTCTTCACGAAAGCCCTCGGCGGCGGCCGCTGCTCCAGCTCCAGCTCCTCATCCACCTCCTCTGCTCCAACTTCATCACCCTCAGCGACCCCGCCTCCACCCCCTAAATCAACACCGGTTTCAACCTCTTCGGTCTCCGCCGGCGCGCCATCGAGCAGCCGCTCGTCGAGTGCCCGGACCGGCCCACGGCGGCGAGTCGGGGAGCAGGGGAGGAGGGTGGTGCGGCTCCGAAGGCAGCGTCGTCCCGCGGAGGCGGGTGCGGAGGTCCATGGGTGGGATAGGGAGACGGCGGCGGCGAACAGGCAGGCGGCGGCGCTCATGGCGCGGCGGGCGGAGAGCGAGTGAAGTGAAGGCTTCTGGGTGGTTTTGGGGAGCACCAACGGCCGAGTGGATAGGCGAGGGAGGCGATGACGTCGACGGTCTACTGGTCCCTTCTGTTGATGCTGTGGGACCGGTGTATTTGACACGCAAGCCGCTTGGCGCGACGTGACGTGGCATCAACATCTTCCCTGGTTGCTGTCGGTAAATCTCGTTCATCGGGATTTTATTGGTGGGTCCGGAAAGGAAAGACTTAACGAAGCTTTGGGCAAACTTTAGCAAAACCCCATAATTATCTGCCAAATTTAGGAAACCTTGGTGATCTTTATATGTCTACATTCACGGTTTGGTTTCGGTTGTGAAACTTCAAGCTTATTTAAAGTTTTGTTAGTGAAATCAAAGATCCTAGAGCTCCCGTGGCAAACGAGAACAGTAAAAATCGACTACTCTAGTTATGATTGGTATTGACTATTCCTCTCCACCCTCCTTCCGCGGCGAGCTTCAGTCATAGACGCCCTCGTCCCGACGTGACCCGACTACCTCTGCCACCGTTAGGACCCTAAGGGCCTGTTCGTTTGGAGGAATTTGGATGGTTTAGAGGAATGCTGAAGGAATTTGTGAGAGAAAAACACTGTTCCCGATGAAAAAAGAAACGGATCAAGCCGGGTTTAAGGGCACGCGAACGGGGCCTAAGCCGTCCTCCCGCCACCCCCACCGCCATGTCGGTCTGCCTCCCCCGAGCCCTTGTCTTCTAAGCCCACCAAAGTTGGGAAAGAAGAGAGGGAGAGTCGGAGAGAGAGGGTGCCGCCACCGCCGCCGGAACCCTAACGCCGCCACCATCTTCTACTTTGTCTCTGGCGTAGTTGGGTGCAGCGTGTGGGAGGAAGAGCGTGGGGAGGCGGATGACTGATGGAAAAACAAGATTTCATATGACTGCAAAGGAGCAATTCTGATAAAAATTAGAGTAAAGCATATTTTTCAACCTTCAAATTACGTGTCAATCTGAATTCGGCAATGCTAGCGCCCGTGCGTCTGGATGCCCACGCCTGCACTCCGTTTCATGCGCCCACGTGGGGGCTCACACCGTACGAACGTCGCCCACACCTCCTGACCCCACGTGGAGACCGCTCGTGCCCCCTCTCCTTCCCCTACTCGGACGTCTGCTGCGGCAGATGGGTCCCCAACAGCAGCACCCGATCTGTTTTTGAAACATCCAGATAAAATACTTGCAACATACGTGTGAAGACAGATGAAACACTTGAAACATGCGTTTGAAACAGAAACATACGTCGGAAATACTTGCAAAAACACCTGAAAATTCTTGAAAAATCATTGAAAAACTTATGCAACATCCAGATAAAAACATTTTGCAACGTATGTGTGAAACATATGCAATATCCATATAAACACATTTGTAACATACGTTTAAAAAATAGATGAAACATTTGGAACAGATGCTTGCAACATACGTGTACAACCATTGCAACATATGAAATATCCTGATCTACTTTTGCAACATCCATATAAAACACTTGCAACATACCTCTGAAACATCTGATATACTCGAAACATACTCTTGCAACATTCGCTTTCAAACACAACATCTACTTGCTGCTTGGACGAATGGAGGCTCGGTGTAGGGCCGGCCGCGCATACCAGCACCATGCCAGAGGCACGGCCAGGGCGATGTGCCGGCAGATATCCACCCTAGCGAACACGTGCAACAGATGGAGGGAGGCAAGGCGGACGCGGAGGTAGCATGGCTGGCTGGGTGGAAGGCCACCGGGGGCTCACCACTGCAATTCTTGTCCTATGGCCACGACGAAAGAGGAAAAAAGGCGGCGGGGGATTTGCTCGGCGAGCATGCATAGGGGGAACTACGAGACTAAGGCGGCGTTGTGGAGCTTGGAGTGGGTCACGAGAGGGCTAGAAGGAAAGGAAGCAACGACGACTAGGGAGCTTTGGGAGAAGGGAGAGTGTGAGAGAGAAAGAGGGGCAGGTATATTGGGCTCCATGAGCCTGTGAAGGTGGCGCTTGTAGTAGGGGCGGTGGAGAGGGTGGCCGGCGTCGAGTGACGAGCAGTAAGTCGGAACGAGCGATGCCAGGTGAATGAGAGAGAGAGAGAGAGAGAGAGAGGAAAGCGGACGAGTGATACGGATATTTTAGAGAGAAGCTGGCATTGTACGTTCCATGGGTAGAGGGATGTGAGGGATGTTAGGCTGCCACATTGCCAACAAAAATCAATGACTTTTTCCTCAAAGGATTGACTTTGGCCACACCGTCTTGATCAAAGAGCTTGGGTTACACTACCTTCTTTGTATACTGGAATATCAATACTGATCTGACTTTCAACTATTATCTGACGGACACCTTCACCATCGAAATATGACAAATTTAGTCTTGTAGATAATTTTATATATGTTTTTTCTAATCTCTAAAAATATTAAAAATACGACGTGATCCCTTAAAATTCATAATTATTTTAAATCAGAAAAATATGAAACCAGTACTATTTTATTAAAAAAAGTATTATCTACCTATTTAAGATCTATATATAGTTATTCAGAATCGTTTTATGTATGCTCATATTTTTTATTGCTTGTAGATACGCTTATCATTTATTTAAACAAGTAAAATCCAAATAACTCTATACATAGTACCAAAAAAAAGATATCTTTTTTAGCATAAAAGTAGAAAAACTTTTAACTTTTTTATTAAAAATAAATTAATTATGGGTTTCTAGAGATGAAACCAGATTTTTATTATTTTTAGAAAATAAAAATCATCTATAATATCAGCTACATAACTAAATTTGTTCGATAGTTAGAGGATGTATATTATCTGGTTCTATAGTTTATTAAGATAGAAAATTGGACTGGCATTTCACTTAGATGTTGAAAAATGTATTTTACCTTAAAAATTATTAATATACGAACCTATGTACAGAGGCGGTGCTTCGTTAGGGCCATAGGGCTATGTATAATAATAGAGAGTTTTATCTGTATACCATTAAAAAAGATGGCCCTTTCCTACAAGCCATTAAAAAGTTTGGGAGCACCTAGGTGTCATGACACTTTATTTCCTTGCCTCCCAAGTCATTCTGTCCACTTTCGCTGGTAACGGTGTGTAACGGCGAGGACAAAAGACCGAAGTGTCCTCAGGCCATACAGGCTGAATGAAATCGCCGTTTGCATGTGTGCCACTCCCTGACCAGGCGTTTGGGCGCCAAGATGGCTCATGTGGGCAAGTTTTTTGGCTCCAAAGTCACTGGGGTTGGCGCCAAAGTGACCCTCTGGCTTGGTGCTATAAATAGAACCTCATCCCTCTCTTCCCACTCAACTTTCTATATTTGTGTCTCCTTCTACCTTGCTGCCATTACCATGTCTCAAGCTTCAAGCAGCTATGGGTGGAGGCCAAGGCGGGTCATGTGCCCAACTGTGGTGTGCTAGCTAATCGTTCATATCGATGACTAGGAAAAACAACAACCGTGTCTTCCACAAGTGCTCGTACTTTGTAGTTCGTTTTTGCTTCCTTGCTCATTCATTCATAAGCTCTTCTTTGTTTGCTGTTTGGTGCTAATCTTTTGATGTTGTTGTTTATAGGCTGGAGGGTGTCAGTTTTATCAGTGGGAGGATAAAATGGAGGACACTGTTGTGCAGCCACCTATAACACCTACTCCATTATAGGCCATTACTCTGTAGGCAGTGGAAGCACCTGCTCCTATCTCTACAGCAGCTCCTCTGGCCATCATCCAGGAAGATTCCCAGTCGGCTAGAGTTGTAGGCAATGCAGTAGTGGAAGATAGGGTTCTTCAGCAGCTTAGGTGAATTGAAAAGCTGGTGTTTATTTGCATCTTTCTTGCTTTGTATGCTATCATGAAGAAGTAAGGGCCTATGTATGCAGACTGTGTATGTGTGTGTGTTTGAATGAAGACTAGTGATGCATGAATGAATGAATGGTTTTCATCACATAGCAGCTTATGAATGAATGATAACAAAATATATGAACTCTAACATCTCATAAAAATATAACAGCTCATAACATTGTAACATGACACAGAAAAATAGAGCCAGACTTAACCAATAGAGTTTGATCACATAGTTCTCATCACAGAGTTTCATCTCACCAACTAAGGTACTAGTTTGGTTCCAGAAGATATTATAGACCAACATATTAAAATGACTAATAGTAGGTCATCAGAGTTTCATCTCACATAGTTCTAGACTTAAGCAACGATAGTTCATCACGGCTACTAGTCATGCCAAAATAAAATGATGCCGGAAGACATAGCAAAGCAATGTAGTTTTTGCAAAGACTACATCACCAAAATAACAACCAAACACAGTTGGCTTTCATTCCATCACTACCTTCTTCTTGCTCACGGTATTTGAAGCTAAATTTGGCTAGGCATCTTTGGTATAATTGGAAGCTTCTTTGGTGTAAGCTTCTTCTTCAACCCTATCTTCTTCCTTGGGGAAGGCTGGGGCAAAACAACTTTCAGTGGTTCTGTCTGCATAGTAGCAGCTGAGTGTTCATGAAAAGGGGCAAGATGCATAGCCTGGAGGGGGACAGGGTCATTGGAACCAGTTCCATACCTATTACAGTCAAGTAGCAGTCAAAGTCAAGTAACCGTTTCATTAAAATGGGGAAATACAAAATTGGAGCAAAGCATACCTATTAGACTGGGAATTAGGATTACTTGTTGACATACTAGTTGCTGGCCCCTTGCTTTTCTTGATACTTGATGAAGAAGATGATTCTCTTTCTCTTTTGGTGTGTTGGTCTACTGCAAGATATGGTCTACAACCTCTAATAAAGCCATCAACACAAGGTTTCAGTGCAAAAAAGAGCCTATTAAACCTTATCTTGTTATTGATTGTGTGGTGATCAATTACAACAAAAGAACTTGGATTGGTTTCCTCTATCTAGGCCTTAAATCTTAATAGGTTGTCAAAACTTTTGTCCCATGGCCCATAAATCTTATCCATGGCAAGTAGTCTAC